GGGTTGTATTCACCTTGTAAGGAAAAATCTCCACCCCTTTTTGACTTTTGCTACGCCACTACAGTGTGTCCCGAAAAAAACTATACACTTTTGAAATGGCTGCCAAATAACAAATATATGATTCTAGGGGGAAAAGTTATATATATATGGAAAGCTCATATACTCAACTTTCATATGACACCAAAAGTTGCGAAAATAATTCATGCTCGAGTGAGCACTGCTCACTTTTGTAAAGGGTATGAAAATTTGGTTGCGCAGGAATTAGCCTTCCAATTTGTGAGAGGTAAATCCTTTGGAGTTTACCGAATTGAGGATGATATGACCAATTTATGATCAATTGTGATAAGTTTGGGTTTGCTGAGTGAAATGTTTGGTTTATGGGATTAACATTTTATGCATGAGTTAACAGGAATTGCATTTTTTATTGTAGCACTGTAACTTCCCTGGTAGACTCAGTGGTGTGTTCAGGGGAGTCAGGATGGGGTGATGATACATGTTGTAATTTTCATGTTACAAACTGTTATTCTCTTACATCTGTGACTTTGAATAAAAACCTTCACCCCACATTTCAATTATTGTAAGATTAGTTGAACATCTCATTGATTTACTCAATACCCAGGTAGGGATAATGTAAATTGAATATTCAAATACGGTTTGTTGACAAAAGGAATGTCCAAGATGTCGGCTACTTATTCTTCAGGTAAATGGTAACTGAAATGTGGGGTGAAGGTTTTTATTAAAAGTCACAAATGTAAAAAATAACAGTTTGTAACATGGAAATTACAACATGTACCATCACCCCATCCGGACTCTCATGAACACACCACTGAGTCTACCAGGGAAAGTTACAATGCTACAATAGAAAAATAAATTCCTGTTCCGTGCATAAAAGTTTGGTTTAATAAACCATGAAATTCACTCAGCAAATCATGAATGTATCATATCACCCTCAATGTTGTAAGCTCCAAAGGATTTACCTCTCACAAATTGGAAGGCTAATTCCTGCGCAACCTAATTTCCATACCCTTTACAAAAGTGACCAGTACTCACCCAAGCATGAATTATTTTCAAACTTTTTGGTGTCATATGAAAGTTGAGTTTATGAGCTTTCCATACATATAAAACTTTTCCCCCTAGAATCATATATTTGTTATTCGGCAGCCATTTCAAAAGTGTATAGTTTTTTTTCGGGACACACTGTATAACAACGCGGATGGGACCAATGATATTCAAATTCACACACAGTTATCCTTCTCATCAAATGCATTCATACTTAACATTATAAAAGAAAATACCAAAGGAACTCGTTGAAGTTTTAAAAAGTCATATGGGTTTTATGTTATACTTCTTTCAAATCATAAAAATGCATCAAATGTTTTCACACAGCAAACTGATATCATTTAATAAAAAACATAACTTTAATAATCAGAACAAATTAATATAATTTATGACACGTTAACAGCTTTAAATGACCATTATAGCATTTATTTAAACTTGCAGTTGACAACTAAAGACAATATACCATAATATTATTGTTACAACATATTGCATATAATTTATGTGCATATTCCAAATTTATCTATTTATTTATGTTGACCTATCTATCTAACTATCAATCTATCTATCTTTCTATGTCAAATAGCTAAGTGCTGCTGGGGACACATTATGATTGATCTTAAACCACAGGTTTCTCAAAACTTTTTGTCTTACAAACTGAGAAAATTAGCTAATAAGAACGGTATTACATTTGCCCTTAATATTTGAAGTTATTCTGAGAAAAATAGGCTATTTAAACAAAACAAAATGTTCTAAAGATAACGGAAAGGAAATTCGATGAGCACGTCATTAAAGTCATGTATACATGACTCTTGTTTTTAAAACTCCTTTCGTAAAGGCACGTTGATGATTATGGTGCTATATACATGACACACCTGTGTTTTCCGATGTCTTTTGCGGTTTTAATTGTATGTGGCATCAGCTTGTAAAATGACAAGCAATCGGAGTTGTCTGGAGCTCAATCAAGATTGTCCATTATCTATTTTTATTGTTTCAAGTGATGAATAATAATTTTCCATCGCTCACCGTGAATATATTATGACACCACTTAAATAAACGTAATTAAGGTGGTGAGTAAATATTACAGAGAATGTGTCAGAGTTCAACATCACGTCAAAATCAATCGATTGCTAATTTAGAATTGTAGATGATTCCTAATTGTTTTAAGTCAACTCTAAATAACAGTAAGTAGATATATCAAACTGTAATCGACTATTTACATGACTGTCACATCGAAATAAATCCGGTGACTAATGTTGAACTAAAATAATTATCTTTTAGAAGAATCCTTTTTCCTTTTCGTTAATTTCGTTTGAAGTTGATCGTTCATCGCGAGCAGATAATAGGTCTTTGTGGTTAAATTAGTTTGTGGTTCTTCAGCTTACTTTTAAAACAACAGTGGATCAAGCATCGGACTATTAAATAAAAAGTGGAAGAATGGAAGCGACCCCCCTAAAACCACCGCTGAGGATTGTCATTCAGTTAGTCACGAAGTCTATATTCATCAGGCTGGTATATTAGAGCATGACTTGTGCAGGTTTGATACCCCCACATAATTTTAGTTTAATTTGTCTTTAATCTGATAGAACAAGATCGCAAAGGCATTTGTAAATTCAACCTGATGCAATTACAATGCCCGTGTCATATATCAAATGAGTGAACATCAAATCCGAACATGATTATTTTATATAGGGTTTAGGTTAGGGTATAGGAAATCAATTTACCCTTGCGTTGATTTCTAGAGTGTCTTTGCGATCGTGCGTTTCGATGAAAAGTTCTGTCTTGCAAAAGTTGAATATAATAAATAAAGATTTTATTCATTCAAAGTAAAAGATCTTCTTACTTGGTCGAATCCCGTTGACTGTATAAGCTCTATGCAACCATTCTGTAAAGCTAATGCTCGATCATTCTTATACTTTGAAAGAGTGATGCATACTTTTTAAGCAAAGGGTTTAAAGCTTGCCCCAGGCTTGTCCGATATAGCAACACGTAATGTATCAATGCAGATTGGACTCAAAGTATTGCAGTCCTTTCATTAATAACAGGTTAATGGAATAACTCGTCACTAGGTCCCCAGGAAAGAAACAAAAAAATTGATTATGTTAATAATCCGGTCAATTCGTTGGATATACTTTACAAGATTTGCGCTTTGGAAATACCTTTAAAAAACATGTATGTATCGATGCATCGACATTTTACTTCCCTCAGAAATGAGCGGTCATGAGGGTTCATAATCTAGTTAACCAATTAATGTTCATTCTTGCTTTCTCTTAATTATACTGAGTCATTCCACCCAAATCATTTCCGGGAGGACTGAAAATAATCACAAGATGTATAGTGAATTAAGATTTCAGTTACGCAATCTTTCTGTTAAATCATGTCTTCGGGATAATTAAGAAAGCTGTGAGAAATTGGAGATGAATTATTTCAAGAGCAATCAGGAAGATGTCTGTATCCGTTTTCCCGGGATTGTTAATTGATGACTGCCTTACTATCATTAAAAGGTGGCTGGTTTTTGGTAAGAGTTGTTTTTAAAACATGGGTGATACATAGAACAAATTATGTCTGTCTAATTGTCTCTCACTATCTCTCTCTCTCTCTCTCTCTCTCTCTCTCTCTTTCTCTCTCTCTTTGTCTAGCAATCTCCATCTGTTTCTTATAATTCACCCCTTTTCTACCTTACCCCCCCCCCCTCTGACTATATAGGCTTTCAATCTGCCTACATGTTTCTGAATATATCTCTCTCGTCCCCCATCCCCCCTCTCTCTCTCTCTCTCTCTCTCTCTCCCCCTCTCTCAGTCTCTCTTTCTCTCTCTCTCGCTTTCTCTCTCTCTCTCTCCCTCTCTCAGTCTCTCTCTCTCTCTCTCTCCCTCTCTCAGTCTCTCTTTCTCTCTCTCTCGCTCCCTCTCTCTCTCTCTATCCCTCTCTCAGTCTCTCTCTCTCTCTCTCTCTCTCTCTCTCACACACACAATTCAATTCAATTCAATAATGGTTTTATTAAAAAACAATGCCTCGCAGCACAAATGCTAAATTGTGCATGTTTACATGTATACATGAGCTTATTCATTTAAACAGTATTGGTAACCAGTATTTATGTGTAGCATTTAAAATCAATCATTATTTACATTTTTTAAATCTATTAAAGTTCACAATAGTAATAATAATAATTGATCAAAAGCAATATACAATACATAACAATAAGTTAAAAAGCTAATACTGAAATTATTGCACCTGTGTCCTTAAGAATTCATATTCATTGAAAATTAAAAGTCAGCAAGAGTCACTCTCCCACCCTCACTCCCACTCCCCTATCTATACTTTGTCCTCTTTAAATTGTAATGTATAGACTCTTTCTTCAATGTGTCCCGTAAACAGTCCCCATTAATAAAGCCATTTTTTTTACTATCATACCAATCGTTGTTCTTTACATCTTAGTTTGATTTTTTTTTATATTATCCTATAGCACCTCCCAATACACAAAGAAGAGAAAAATAAGACAAAGAAGTAAGGAGAAGTAGAAAGAAGAAGAAGAAGTAGAAGAAGAAGAATTAAAAAGAAGAAGAAGAAGAAGAAGAAGAAGAAGAGAAGAAGAAGAAGAAGAAGAAGAAGAAGAAGAAGAAGTAAATAAAATCTAGAATTTAATTACACGTTATTCTTATGAGGAAGGTTGAATGAGTAGAAAAAAACAAATTTATAATTTAAAAAATTGATGAAGAAAATTAACTCAATGAAGGGCAAACTATAATTATAATACATGTATATACATGTAGATCTAGGATAAAATGTTATTTCGAATATTTTCATTTTTGCACACTTTTACTTTATTTGTGTTTCGATACATACATGTTACACCGAGACCTACAGCAAATCGGGTAAATAATAGGCCTAAATCTAGATCTAGATCTATACCGTATGTACCGATGCTGATATTAATTTACAAACAATCACTATAGAACTCTAGAGAAAGGGGGAAAAAACAAGTTCGCAACATGGCGTCCTCCTCGTCTGCCACGGGCTCAGGGCAACCTGAAGTAGCTTTCTCCAGTTTTATGACGGAGGTAATTATTTTTAGCTTTTAAATATGACATTTAACCAAAGTTGATCTCATTTGTATAAGAAAAATGTTATCTTAACTCGGAAACTGTAAATGAAAAGTGATGTTTTTAGTTGTTGTTCTTCAGTGTTGTCCCACGTATTGATTTTTGTGGGTGTGATGATAGGGATCTCTGTGCCTGCGCTGCATATGAAGGGCACTCCAGCAAATCATAGAGAGTCAATGCTAATGCGTATTGACCCCTAGCACTGCATGCTTGCTGCAGCTGCAGTCAGGTATTATTATACCCATACACAAATATACACACCACACAAAATCGCATAGACTGTACACAATCATGACATGTTGATGCAGCTGTAAGCAAAGTTTAACACTAGACTTACAATTTTAATTTTTAAATTATTGTTTTTAACATCAGTAAGTTAAAAAAATGTATTTTACTGCTAATAAGGTGTCATCAATTGTCACTAAAGTACCGATTTTGAGTGAAATAAGTTGAGTTTTGTACAGTGGTGTTTGAAATGTTGAGAATCAAAAGCACAGCTTTTACTACACAGCCAGGATAGTGATGCTCCTATGTGTGATGAAGGGGTGACCAAAGTTCGTGGACATTTTAGAACATATTACAAAATGTGATGTTCGAACTATGATTTATCATATTCTACACAAATTTATTTATTTCAATTATTACCAAATGGACGCCAAAGTTTTTTTACTACAGATTGGTTCAACTAGAAAATTTACCGTCGAAGGATTTCAGAGATATCGCGATCTAAAAATTTGATGTCCGATCGTGCGTGCTGCATCTAAAAAAGTTATAAAAACAACGAGACCTCACTTCATGCACGGGGGTTTACAGTTGATTTATCAAAAAGTGTGATCCATCAAAAATAAGGTAATATCATAATTTGCAAGTCAATATTTTTACTTACAATTTTGAGGAAATCTGCTTTCAAATTGAAGATTTTCAGACCCTTATCGGTAAGTTGATCAATTTTTTGGAACGGACGCAAAATATTGCAAAATTAGCCAATCTTTTGTCAATATTTTCACAATTTTGTACCCAAGTCCAAAGAAAATTTCACCTCTGAGTAATTTTATGTTCCTCTTCCCATTGGTGATATCAGATTTTCGTAATCTTACTGATTTTCTGAGATAGCGAACTTAGGTCACGCGCGAACTTTGGGCACACCACCATACAATAAAATAAAGATTGAAGGTAGACCTAGACAGAAATAACCGTTAGCTGCCCGTCAGGTATGGGGAATGGATAGTTCTTTAATAACGTTTAAGTCATACCTAACCATTTTTTAAGTTTGAACAATTCTCATTTTCATCATAAACTGGAAATTTATTCTGAAATGTTCAATGATTTTTCTATTTTATGTGTGTGCAATTTCAAGTGTGCGTCAATTATGTGTGAAGTGCGTCACCTGTTCAAAGCATGACATCTCAATATCTCCTTGTTGTGACGTTATATTACATGTCATGTACGTATTGACATTGCCATTGAACTTAAGTTGCGCTTAAGTTAAGTAGGCCCTCTCTCACTTAAATACACCAGTTTACAGTTGTGTGCGCCATTTTAACTGGCGAGTAAACAAAGCCAATGACCTAGAGGTCAGTGGTATTTATGCGTAAATTAAGATTGCGCCCATGCAAATTATGATATGCGCGCACAACGCAGCGCGCAGGCAGTGATATCATCATAATTTGCATGGGCGCAATCTTAATTTACGCATAAATACATGACCTCTAGGTCATTGGCTTTGTTTACTCACCATTTAAAATGGCGCCCATGTCTGCGCATGCGCACTGATACAACTGTAAACTGGTGTATTCAAAACCACTCGAGCGGATCGGCCAATGGGAGCGCCGCGCGTAAACTCACTGTACAGCACTCAATGCGCAAAGTTCTTCATGGGCGGGGGGTTAACTAGCAAATATTGAATCAAGTTATGGTAGGGTAGTTGATATACAACTCCATACATTACGATTGCAAGGCAGCATGAATACATCAATGCACTGAGTACGAGTATACGTAAACGTAGCATTGTGCCCAGAGCAAGTGAGTGTGAAATTTTGAAGTTAAGGGTTGAGATTTTCTCAATGTTTTTTCCTTTCTTTCTGTCTCTTCTTACAGGTGAAGTTGATAGAGAAGAGAGATTCAAGTCTGACACCCAAGCAACAAATTGAAAGGCTGATCAGACCAGGCTGCACCTACTTCAACCTAAACCCATATGAGGTATTTACATTAGTGCAGTGGGTATTAAAGACCCTATCAGATGAAAATACACTTTATATCAATGGAAAGCTGAATGAACATAGAAGACAAGTATAACAAAATTCAAAAAAATGTTACCTTTCAGTATTGCACTATTAAAAGCAAAATCAAAACCTCATATCTGTACCCCTCCAAATTACGGGTCAACTGGGGTTAAATTTTCCTCAGTTACATTGATGACATACCGGTAACATTAATTAAGGCGCCTTGGATTAATTCTCATGTGCGAGAAGCTGCGTGTTTTTAACCTGAGAGCGCATGCATGAAAGCCGTATTGAGTTAATCCCGGATGCACGATTTGCCCACGAGAAGACGCATTGTGTGTGTCCGAACACCGTGACGTCCTTTTCAAGCCAGAAATTTTTCAACCCATTGAAAGATTCGTCATACTTGTTTAGCTCCCTCTGCGGCTAAACTAAGTTATTTAGCTTAGCTTGAGTTTGTGTCTAATTAACACTGTACTCTGTATGTTTGGAATGGATCATTATGCACAATAAAAACACCGTTTAAAAGGGTTGTTTACAAGTAATAAGGCCTGTTTAAAAAATTCAACAAGCTGTTGTATTGTAATGAACTGTTAGCATTTTAAACAATTACGTTTTATCTGTGTATATATAACCGAATTAATTTTTAAAAAGGAGATTTTTTTCGGGGAGGTAACTTGGAGGTGTCAATCTAGACACACGGGTTATGGGCGCCCCATTCAAATTTAATTCTCCAGCAATTAATGGAAATAAAGACTAGTGGGGTTTTTTCTATCTCGCCGTTAAAAACAATTACGTGCTGGCCATAAAGCCAATGTGTTGATTCATGAATTCTTGTTTGGAGACTATGCTATTCCATTGTCATTTAACTCATAGAGGCAAAACACATTTTACGGAAGGTTTTAAATATTATTTTTTTCTTTGAACTTGGTATAAAGCCCTCTCCAAAGAAAACATTTTCTCTTGCTCCTGTTCATCTCTTTTCCTCTCTCTCTTCTCTTTCTCTCTCTTTTCTCCCCACTCTCTCTTTTGTTTCTTCACTGGCCACCCATTATGGGTGCAGTCTGCCTCTATATCCGCATTCTGCACCGTGCCCCCCCCCCCCCCCCCCCCCCCCCCCCCCCCGTACGCTAGTGTTTCTCCGGCTTATTATTATCATTATAATCATCATCATATTATTATTATTATCATTATTTAGAAGGGGAGGGTGATGAATAATGAAAGGAAAGCAATGAATTATAAAAATTCGTTTATAATCGTTTACAAATTTGGGTTGATTTTACTCTTCCATTCAATAAATCTCATTAAAATGTGAAAACTGCACTCATTATACATTTTTTGTCTTCCTCCCTCCCCCAAGTATACGAATGTGTCTCCGGCTTTTCTTTGTTTGTTGTTAGGTGGGGGTAATGGAAGGAAGGTAACAAATCATTGATTGACATTCGTTTAGAAATTAGCGTTAATTTTGCTCACATCACAAAAAAAAATCTTATTAGGATAAATCAATACTCTTGTACAAGATTCAAGATACTTTATTTCTCCAATCGTGCAACATATAAACTAACATTACCAATTGCTCCTGTTTCTTGTACTTTCATATTATTCATTATAATCGTTTTTTTTTTCATAAGCATGTCCATTTTTCTTTCATATGAAATTCTGATACTGCTGGTAATTCATTGGGAGCAGCATAATCTGCGCTCGCCCTGAAGAAATCTCATGACGGCAAGCACCCTAGTACCTTATAATCCGCCCTTCCTTTGTTCGAGTTTATAACCATGACAACGAACTCTACCTTTGCCCAAGTTCATTGTTTCTCTTACGTAACATAGATGTAAATAGGCCTCAGACATAACTCTTTTCGTATAATCATTCTATATACCGGTAGTTCTAAAATCTTTCAAATATTTTGTGTCGTTTTTGTTTGTATATACTTTGTTAATTTACTTACAAACTATTGTTGTCAAAATTTGCCAATACTACCAAACTATTACGTTTTCCCCATCATCTTCCGCTCTAGAATCTTCTTATTTATTTATTTTTATTTGTTGGGTCCTTTTCACATTTTTCTTGTCTCTCTCTCTTCAAGATTTATTCTGTTTTTGTAAGGGTATTTATGCTGTTAATGTTTGTATAAATAAAAGAGAAAACGTTATTCTTTCTCTTATAATGTTGTCCACCTTCTTCTATAGATACATGTAACCCTTTTGTGATTTGGTATAATGTCCGATGTATATTACATGTACATCTGTCAATAAGCTTTTGGAGCTTTGTTGGAGTACTTGTATGAAAGAAAGCGTTATGAACTATATAATGCACATGATATGTATGACTTGATATTGATCGCGATCACTTTGCCATTCAGTCAAGTAATAAATAATATTATATAAATTCAAGTATTTATTATGTGTTTCTATTCAAGCTTGTATTATAGAAAACAATATAATATAAAGAAAGTACAAATTCAATTCATTATGTCTGTACGATGGACATAGTACAATCATAATCTAGTTCAAGCAAAGCGTGACCAAAGAAAATCATTTTAATAATATATCTTATAAATTTGTGTAGATTATTCATGTTTATTTATACAAGCATATAATGTAAGTATAAATACTTGAATTTGAATTCAAAACAAATTGTTCATAGTATTCGGCAATAATGGTCATAAACTGACTTGCTAAACAACAACAACAAAAACCCATTCACCGGCCTGTTTGTGTGTGAAGATGGAGCTGGGGGATTATTCCAATGAAAGAAAACAATAGCCGGATTATCTGAACTACGGTCTGCCCATTTTCATTCGCTTTGTTATGATCTGCAGTGAAAAAGCGGGAAGTCTATTCATGTTATTGATTTTCGAACCAATCAGTTGCAATGTTTTGTTTGCATCCACTAAATACTAGCTTCTGGTGTTTATAATTCATCAAGAGATTAAGAAATATAACGTAAACATTCAGAAGAAGCTAAAATGAACGGAGAGAAGAATATAACAGTACAATAATAATTATCAGAAGTAAACTTTTAAATATAAATCTCTGTTGCATCAAACTGATATGACAACAAATGTTTATTATGCTATATTGAAGGTGTTAATATACGTCGGACATTATACTTAGGCGAAAATACATAAACAAACAAAACAGAAAGACAAAAAAAAAAGAGCCCAGGGGAGGGGGGGGGGGGATTAGAGAGACAAATATGATAATGATGAATACAGTACAGACTTCGTCCAACTTTTTGTCTCTCCAACCCCTCTCACTCATATTGTTTATTTCTGAACTCTAAATATGAAAGCCATCTTCCTTCGCTTGCTTTTATGTCAACCTCAACTGGCAATATGATTTTGTGTGTCTTGTTTCCCTGTTTAATACTTTTTTCCCATCTAATTACCATTATTTCGCTCAAAATCTATCACAATCACTAACATAATGGCGCATAAAATGTTAACGCAACGTATTACCATAGCATGAAAGGTGAGTTTGATAGAGAGGGGAGAGGGGAAGGGGGGGGGGTGGGGACTGGGCAGGGTGTCTAATCAATAAAGTACTGTTTAATGCGCGGAGTTGGGCAAAGGCAACGTTGAATGTCCGAGATAAAATCATTAGGAGCCAGAGAAAATAACACTGAGTTCCCATAGGAAATATATTTATTCAGATGGTCATATCTCAGCCAATACTGTTATAAATATTAGGACATTATTTTTGATGCTCTTTCGGAAAATTAAGAAAAATTGAGAAATTCAAAACATAGATTAATGATGACGTCACACTTCACCACTTATTTTGAATTTGTTTATTACCTGTGTAACTGTGTTAGATTCTTTTCATTTCATATACCTGGGGACAAACCTTTGATTTTTCCTTCCTCTCGATCACTCCTATTGTTTCATTTCATATTGTTTATTTCTGAACTCTAAATATAATATCCATCTTTCTTCGTTGATAAAATGTTACGTTAAAACGATTGTCTAGACTGAGTCGTTGGTAAGATTTTTTTTAGGCATGATTGTGCAATCAAAGAAAATAATAATAAGCTGGTAGAATTGTTGTGTATACTTTAATTTTGTATGTAATGTTTCACTCGTTTCACTCAATCATTGAGTAATTACATGTAATGTAAATATGTATTGAAAAAAACCTCGCTTGAGGATAAAAGAAAAAATGAAGTCTGCTGCTGTTGTTGTTGTTACTTATTTTTTTACGGCGCTTTCATTTAAAAAGCTCATATTTTGCGCCATTCATTTATAGATATTAAACAATCTTTTCATGATTAGTCAAGCGTATTGCCCATAAGTTTATAAATGTTCCGGAAGTCAAATACTGTTTAAGATAACCCAACACAGATTAATGAAGTTTGGAAACGAAAACGAGACAAATGAAGCTACAACAAAGCGAAACATATCAAAGGAAGAAAAAGCATTAATGTATGACTTGTATAAATGTGTGATAAATAATTTGTATTAATAAGTTATCCCTTTCAGGAAGGGAATCTGAATTCTGACCCTAAAAGCAGGGGCCGCGGAGCGTTTTTGAGAGTAGGGTAGGGGGGGGGGGGGGGGGGGGAGGTCTGAACATGAAACGTGTCTACTAAAAAAAAAAGACCCAGCCACCCGCTTCCGCGGACCCTGCATAGTTTGAGAGTTACATGGCAGACTATAGAGGGCGGTCAACTGGTATCGGTTGAAAACATTACGAGTAGGTCAAGCTATGTTCTTAAGTCGTTGAAGCGGACGCACCTTTACACGGGATTTTCGCATCCGGCTTTTGAATAGAGGGGTGCGGACGATTGTGGCTTTCACGCAAACTAGGCCGCGTTGCATAAAGCCGCGTGTTTACTGCCACTCGAATTAATCCAAGGCGCCTAATGCAAAGTCATTGTGAATATGTGTGCTCCACGTAAGATGATATCATCCAGTTGATAGCTAGTTTTAATTCCGATTTTCAAAGCTTTAGATTTTGAGTTTTCGGAGAGCTGTTCCTCCTCTGCCAGACACTAAAATAGATATAATTGAGGGTATTGTAATTTATGGCTTATAAGCTTTCTGTTGATATATAATAGGCCTACATCCATTTAATTTTTCAGTTCGGATATGGTCTTTAAGGAAGGATATATTTGTGTCAAGTGAAAGCGGAAGCCTGCATGAAAGAGTAATGTATTGTAATCTACATGTATGGCTTATTCCATTAGTATGCAATTAATCCATTTCATTTTCACTTCCAACAGGGTCTTTAAAATGGGTAGAAAAGTAAGTTTGATGGTTAATTATGGGACACAGATTGCCTTTGATCTCGCAGGCTCAAATGTCCGCATAACCCATATGAAACAAACAATTGAAACCAACTTAAATGTATGCAGATCAATAAATGGACTTAAATTCCTGATACTGCTATTTGTGTGCTCATATTATCATGTCACATTCAAGTGCGTGTGCTATGACATTTGCTACAGCGACCGTTGCTCTTGTCTTTATTTTGTCAAAGATGTACATTTAGAAAGATTAACATTTTATTTAAGGGTTAGGGTAAGGTCTGGCCTATGTGGGTTAACTTCAGAATTCCAATAGTTATATCATATTGACTTCGCTTGAGGGGTACATCAGAAATATTGACCAAGCTAAGATCATATTGTCCCGAGTCGACTGCAGAGAAACTGTGCACCATGTCGTAAAACCACATCAGAACCGGGGGCCATCATCTACATACAAGGTCTTCTATTTGGAGCCAGAAGGGCATTAGTTCATATAATTAAACATTGAGTTATAGCCTTTCCGCTTGAAACAGATAATGTATAAGTGCATATACATATGTGTGTATGTTGAATGGTTTGTGGAGAGGGAAGGGGGGGGGGTAGACATTTTACCCTTTCAATCATGTGATCTTTTACTATGCAATGGAGTATACAATTTGATACAATTTCATACTTCTCATATTATATCGCCTTGTTACTTTTACATTTTGTTTTCACGCAATTTAGGTTTTTCAATCAGTAGCTTATTTCTACCTCAAAATCCATCACCATGTCAATCTTTTTCTCTTTTGATGAATTCTTCCAATTCTATGTCTCTTTCTTCAGGTTTTACAAGTTGATCCAAGCATGGAAGTGCCTGACATCAAGAAATTATACAGAAGGGTAAATCAATTCAAGTTTCATCTTCAGAAGTGTTAATCATTATCATGCATTATGTCTACATGTCACATGTGTTACATTTTAAGGCTCATTCAGATATGGCATGGTAAACTATGAAAAAAGGTCACTGAGGTTATTTTAACATGTTAAATGAATGACAACTGCGCGCAACAAATGACTTGCACATATTCACTGGACTCTGTGTTATAAGATACAGAAATGTGAAGCGAAGTACACTTTGCGTCATTAAGTAACCGCTGCAGTTTTGCCGCATCATATCTGAATGGGCCTTAAGAGGTTAGTTTTATCACAGATACACCAACAAAACATAAACAAATTGTTAGAAGTCATTGATTAAAAGGAGGTTTGCAATCTGCAACTGGCTGCCTTTTGCTTAAACTGTTCTTGTTTACTATATATATTATTATACAGGTAAATATGTGATTATATATATCAAGTTTTAAACCATCTTGTTCAATATTTTCAGCATTGAGTTTTTTTATAAAATGCTATTATTTTTTGGCAATACATGTATAGTAGTGAAAGCAGGGGCCCTTCATAAAATATAATCGCTCAAAGTTCACCAATTATTTAATAGATATAGATGGGCCGGAGATCTATCCATTCAAGTCTTTTGTTTTATTGGAATAACAATTTACTTTGTCATGTAAAAAAACAAGTATACAACACCATTGTGCCAACATTTTTATTTTATTTATATATTGATTTGTATAAACTTTGAGACTATTTCAGTAATTTGCCTGTTATCCCATACTTGACTGTGTCTGAGACTCTGTGGTCAAAAGTGCAAACGCAAAAGTAGAAAAGTGAAATCAATGAAATAAAGAAATATATTATGAGACCCCAAAACAAATAAACAAAAATGAATGAAAAATAAAAACTCTTATGGAAGCATGTGCTTTGAAATGGATGACTTGGAAAAAACAGAATAAATGAGCCACTTGCTTACTCATGTGCACCTGGGGAAAAAAGACATGGATAATGTATTATTTGTACAAGATTTGAAAAGATACTTACAATGTGCAGAATTGCACTGGAAAAAAGAAGTCATATCTATTTTTATTTGCCCTTGTACTTTTACATTCAAATTTGATCATAGGAAACAGTGTGTGTCTCAACATTTCTTTCAATAGTGAAGTTTTGTCCTATTAGTTTGGGTGGAAGGGCAAATTTGTGTTTCCTGGATTGTGGTATGTGGTCAATTCACTGGGATGACTTCAGCTTGATAGATAGTCCTTAGCTGGTCGTTCTATTAATAACCTCATAGGATGGTGCAGATCTTAAACACAAGAGGGAGCTATACATGTATACATGAAGGTCTTTTAATAGCTAATAGAGTATGTTACATGTACATGTATTTCACCAAAATCACTCTTGTTTATATGTCAAATTCATGGAGCACTGATATTTAGGTCCCTATTATGAAACACAAGAGGGTGCTATATGATTCACCCCATAGTGGATAGGGAAACTGCTACACAAGTTCTTTTTAGAAGTTTTATTCTTTGACCAAAGACCCTATGTTTGAATATTTGCATTGTGCGGTTTATAATTATTCATTCCTATAAATATCCTAAACTGATGTCATCAGCACTTTGGCCAATGTTTGCCACAGTAGGTGCTATACCAACCATGAAGTTGGTGAATTTGTTCTTACCTGGTTGCAATTGTAATAAATGGGCTGGTGCATTCTTCAAATTTCTCAAGGTTGCTGCAAAGCCAATACAGGCCTAGCGTAAACTGTTATTGCCAAAACACATAACAACACATGAAGGTATTTATGATTAGTATCATCTCTTTTAAAGGTAAAGATCAGTTTTGGAAACACTGGAAGCTCTTATTACCAATCATGTAAACCAATAAAAATTTTGCCGGGAAACCGCCTACTAATTGATATATTTGGTAAATTGTCATATCTATCCAATCTGGATGGATATCGCGTAGTCCCATCTTTCTGTGTACAATGCTTTTAACTTTACCAAGACTGGGTCAAATTTCTTATCATTTTGATGATTCCAGGACCTTGCGGTACACACCAATACTTATATGCTAGATGATCAACCTTTTCTGATCGATTCCACAACGTTTCTTTCACAATGCAATGGTATGACCAGAACTGGTTATACCTTTAATATTATCTTTGTCGTTTCTTCTTTCTAGTTATCTATACTGGTGCATCCAGATAAGAATATGGATGATAGGGAACGAGCACAGAAGGCTTTTGATGGTAAGCTCCATTTTTGTCTTGATATTCATAAAGCTGGGACCATTTTCTGAAAATGTCTTTTATGTTAGGGAAAGTTATGTCCATGTTCATAACATACATGTGTACATGTACTCAAATTGCCATGAAACTAACACTTGGCATTGGTGCTTGCGCAGATGTCTTTCTTGATTTCATTCAAATTCAGCCAGTTTTGTGCAGATATTAACCGATGACTTATCCTAGTTTTTATTAGCTATGACAATTGAAAGCATTTTATTAAAATATGACACCGTTTTGAGAATACTACCCCAGGTTTAATATAGACAACAGCCTTCAATTTTTTTATTCAGAAAATCCAAATAAGAGATCAGCTGACAAAGAAACACATAAAACCTGAAAGCCCTTTGAAATTTTGAAGTGTTTGTGACCTCCCATACTTTCTCATATTTCTTTAGTACCTTAATAGTCAAATCTCATTCCAGGATTATTGAGGTATTACACATATATGTCCAGATTTTAATTTTGGACATTACCCCCCCCCCCCCCCCCCCACTTGAGAAAAAGAAAAGAAAGTAAAACAAAAATGACAACAATAAAAGATGTTTACTGCGCTGTTAGTTAGGTCTTAAAGAAGGACATATTTGTGTAAAATGATAAGTGGAAGCCCAAATGAAAGAGTTACATTTCTAAATTTCCACATTTTTGACTTGTAGATCAAATAAGTTGCTAAACGACATACTATACATGTGAAGAGCTTTGAACCTGCAACATCTAGGTCAAGAGTCAAGCAACTGAACCACTATTCCATTGTACCACCACATCTGGGCCCGTTTGCACAAAACTTACCATTGATGGTAACCTTGCCATCAATAGTAACTACCATGGTAACCTTGATTTTGATTGGCTGCTGAGCCCTGTTACCATGGTAGTTGTCATTGATGGCAAAGTTACCATCAATGGTAAGGTTAATGCAACGGGCCCTGAAATATAAAGAATGATATCAATCAACATTTGATGCATCAATAATAATAATTCATTTTTGCAATCGTCTCTTTTCAGCTCTGAGCAATGCCATGAAGACATTGGAAGACGAGACAAGCAGGAAAAGCATTCTGGACACGATAGAAGAAGCAAAGCAGAAGACAGACTTCTTGGTAAATATTGAGTTATTCTGTTTCTTGATCAAATCATCAGACACAAAAGACACCATGACAATTGCTCAAGCTTTGGCTCTTCACTGCCCTGCATTGTGTATGTAAAGTCTTGTGAAATTGTGGCATGCAGTGCCATGTCATGCCATAAAAGCAGTTCTAGATATCATGGGCGCCATGGCATGCTTTGTTCACGCAATGTTGATTCCAAAGTTACAATCATTTCACTCCCTGACATGCATTGGCGCGCTTTCTCAGGATACAGTTGTGCCAAGGCTGTGTATATTCCCTCTAAATTTTCACAAGGGAGCCAAAAATGGAGACATTACATTTTTCGAAAGTTCTGTTCTGGCAGACATTCTTTTATCTACCCCACTTCTCCATGATTGCTACATGACCACCTTTCTCATCGTCCCACATTGGCACACCAAAGGGCCTGCCATTGCGTGAACCATTTTGCATTCAAGTGTTGGGGTGGCTATAGGCACAGAAAAAGAGATCCGAAGCTATCACAATGTATTCCTCAAAGTAATCATCACATAATCAATGTGGTTGGTAATATAAGGGACTTGCCCAAAGAAAAGAAAGAATTTTCTAATAATCAGAATACTACCTCTAATTTTTCTCATATATTTGTTGCAAATGCGTAGCTGCCAACAATTCCTATGTTTCACCTTCAAATTACTGTTATGAACTATGGGTTCCTCTCATCTTCTTTAGACATTGGTATAGTACAGTCAAACCTGGTTTGGCGACCGCTTATCTACAAAGATAACATTCTCTGCTTCCCCTGAAAGTGGTTTCTCATTGAAACATGTACTCTGGAAACCTGTCTACAAAGACCACTTTTTGTGTTTCCCTTGAACAGTCGCTATAGACAGGTCTGACTAGGCTAGACCCGTGTCGAGTAAGCGTTTAATCGTAAACCCGCCCTGTAAAGCCAGTAGTCAAATAATGAACTTGATAACCGAATACTCGATGACTAATTGGGAACTGTAGCATGAAAATAAGCTGTATTCTTTATTTCTTGCTGTGGAAGATTGGCAGGTATGCTTATTGTGTCTTTGTACATCTGTTCAATGATCCGTTAACCTGTCTAACTTTTGTTTTTATATACAGCTTGGTGAGAAGAGGAAGCAATTGAAAAAGGATGATAAACCTACTGCAATAGAAGAAGATGATCCACTGAAGGTATGTTGTATTTAAGGTATGTAGAGGTGTCGTGGTTGAATGGGTACGTCACCGACCTGTCAATCACAAGGTCCGCGGTTCAAGTCCCACCGCGGCACTAATGTCCTTTGGCAAGATCTTGATCTACATTTGCCACACTCAACCCAGATGATGTAAATGGGTACCTGGCAGGAATTAATTCCTTGAAAGCTAGAGCACCATAATGGCGCTCATCCCTGCAAACAACGTGATAATCTTCAGTTTTGTCACAGTGAAAACAGTACGAATGGAAGCTATAAAACTGTTCCACACATATTTTTTTTGCAACAAATTATGATTTATTATCTTACTTTGGTTTTCCAGTACAAGGAGACCCTTCACAAGAACACGGTGAAGCTGTTTGCCGACTACGCCATCAGGAGGAAAGAGATTGAAGAGAAAGAAGCGAGGATCAAGAAGAGAGAAAGGGAAGAGGAGATCAAAGAGGAAGACAAGAGCAAGAAGGCCAAGGAATGGCAGAAGGATTGGGAGGTAAGTTCATTTTGATATTCTCGAAAGCGGACTAACTTTAGTCCATGGTTTAATCCTCTAAGTATGGAATGCCAAGTGTCCATATGAATATATTTTTGAATAATTTGATGTGTCCCTAAATTACCATGATAGCATAATTATTTCATAGTTATAGTGTTTATTAATTATGTTATTACACTTTATTTTAATTTACTGACAGATTAAATCATTCAAAAACATTTTCATGTGGACACTTGGCATTCCATACTTAGAGGATTAGACCATGGACTAAAGTTAGTCCGCTTTCGAGAATACCACCCTATAGTATACAAATATTAACTTGCTTTCAGGGGAACGGTTAAAACTATTACAGGAAGTGATGTCAAATCTCTGCTTTTCCCCTAAGACTAAGCCAAAATACATGAATGTAGAAAAAGTCTTGAGATCACCAAGAGATTGTAGATTTAATTGTGATCCGAAAAAGCAAGCAGTCAATACAGTCATACCTGCTATAGCAACTCCCTGTATCAAAAGACCACCTGTCTATAAAGACCACATCTTTGTTTCCCTTGAAAGTGGTTTCTCATTGAAACATGTACTATTAAGGAACCTGTACATAAAACCACCTGCCTATAAAGACCACCCTTTTCGTGTCCCTGAGTGGTCTTTTATAAATAGGGATCTTTTGAAATAAAAACCTGTTTATCAAGATATTCTTGTTCGTTATATTTACTGATCAAAGAGTTTTGAGTAGGGTGCATGTATTACATAATGTATCCAAAGCCTTGACTTCATGCATGTTTATTGCATCCCTGCATTGTGAGGGCAATTGCGAAGTCACTACCGTATTCGTTTGCAATACAGCCGTACACTCGGTTTGGAATTTTTACACCCTTAATTTGGCCAATTAGAAACTGAGAATCTGATTATGAGGTTATAGTAAATATTGGCTTTGTGTTGTATGCATTTTATGCCCCATGCTTGATGGTTCAGGGGGGCTGCAATACTTGATGCAATGACAATGGCTACAGTTGATACCATTCCTATGTTTACCTCATAACAGATGTTCCGGATTGGGGAAATAAACTTCACTTTCACGACCAAAATATCTTTTGTAATGTGCATACTTCCCATGAGGAAATCTCTTTTTTTTTGTAAATTTGTTCCCCTGAACACTCTCTGTGGCATGTCAGGGAGCATTCAGTGTATTTAATTGTTTTGCTGAATGTGAGAGTTATACATACAAAAATCGAGGATATCCCAAGTTCTAGGTATAGCAAGTTCAGGATGTGCGAATCTTGACAGAATTTGTATGGAATTCCTTCAGAGTAAGTATCTAACTGAACTCTATTCTCTCTCTTTTGTCGTTGTGATCAACAGGATGGAAGGGACAAGAGGGTCCACAACTGGAGAGACTTCAGCAACCATGACACCGCCAAGAAAAAGAAGAAAAATAGGATGGCCTTTAAGCCACCCAAACCCAAGCTGGAAACGAGATAAACCACACAATCTACCGGTTAAACATCATAGACAGTACCATGTCATTGTAAAAACATGGAGGAGACGGACAATGCTGGGTCCAATGGAAGTAGAGATTAACCCCCTCACTGCTACACTGTCTCATTCCTATAGCCGTGATACAGGAATCACTTGGTTTTACAGGCGATGGGTTCGGTTTGTTGTTAGAATGATACAACAAAATTAAATTATGTCATACCATGGATGTCGTCTCAGGGGAAGTTCCCTTCTTCAAGCACAGTCTAGCCTTCTTTTTTTTTACATCATAAACAGTGGCACTTCAATATGGAACCACTGAGGAGACTGATGATGTAGAATCCATTGGAAATGGAGATTGACCCCTTGGTGGCTGGATCTCTTAGTCCTTTCTGCTTTATACAGAAACTTCGCATGTCCTGCAGGCAATGGGTTCAGCCTGAGTCTGTTGTTACAATGAAACAAGAAATGCACAGACATCATTTCTTTGGATGTCATCTCAGGAGACGTTCCCTTCTTCAAGCTTAGTCCAGCCTTCCACGCTATGTTTGTAAATACAGTGAAACCTGTCTATAAAGACCAGCCGAGGGAGACATGAAAAGTGGTCTTTATAGGCAGGTGGTTGTTATGTACAGGTCCCTTTAATACATAATTCAATGAGAAACCATTTTTCTAGGGAAACAAAAAATGTGGTCTTTGCAGACAGGTGGTCACTAAAGCAGGTTTGACTGTACATCACTTATGGAGTGCCATCTCCAAAAGGGAAGGAGGAATACTTTTAGCTGCCTTTTTATTGATGAATGGACAGAATCTAAACTTTTTTATTTGAACCGTGTTGTAATGAACTCCTTCGGACCATATAGGAAATTACCTTGTTACATGTATATATCGCACCTTTATATTAGGGATAAAACAAAGAAGAATACGAAGAAATGAGACCAGCAAAATCACCCGATTATAACGAGAGTTTTTTTAACAATCTTCTTTATAACAAGGTTCTGCTGTAGTAAAATAGAGGAATCTTGCAATAAAGACCATTTTTCTAACAAACTGTCAGTACTGTTATAAATAAGGCAGTATGCTGGTCCTAAATTGTGTATCCAATTTCTTGAAACCTAATATCACAGGATTTCAAAACGGCAAGGTTATTTTCTTTTTTCAGATGATTTTGTTATACGGAGGTTCCACCATATTTGATTGATCTGTTATTTTGATCACATGGATTGTTGTTGGAACATGTCAGTATGCAGACTTCATGTACTGTATCTGAGAAGATTGATATCAATCTCTTGTGGTTCATTTTGCCATATTATTTTTTTCTCTATCTGATTGAATGATGAGGTCACAGTTTGCCATGGCTCTTTGATCTGTACTATTTATTGTATGCAGGGACTGCTCTCTTCAAAGGGTAGCCATCATCCAAAGTGCCTGGCTTGGAAACTTCATAGATTTCACGACATTTTCATATTACAGATATGATGATACACACTGGATATTACCTATTGACTCATTTAGCCCGGTGCTTTATACCCAAATATAGAAAAAGAAACTTGTTCCAATAAAAATACTAAGAAACTAAGAATGTATTGCCAGACACTGCACAAAAAGTCAAATAAATTTTGTAATTGAGTTGGTAATATTTCATTTTTATCTGGTTCAAATTGTTTTTATTTGGTAGTTCTGTGCTAAGATTTAATTTATTCATAGAATTTATCTCCTGACGACGGATAGTCAACCTGTTCGAAACGTCGAGCCACTCCCGCCACATCCTCTCCAATCGGCGCTATGAAGCTAAGGAAGATAACCAACAGTCTTTTTCAAGACTACACCAACAGTCCTTTTTAGGACTACACACCCTCAAGAATGATTACTGAGAGTCCGTTTCAGGACTCCTCAATCCTCTCTCTCTCTCACAACGGTGCATCCGCAAGCCTACTGTAAAGGATTTATTTGTATTGCTCTTACATGTACATGTAAATCCCAATTTAAGGAATGGCAGAGAACAGCAGAGCACTAATATTATTCTTGATTCTTACTTAATAGCAGGAATTTCTTCTTGACTACACATTAACTCTTTATATGCACAAAACTATGTGTCACATTGTATTTATTATGGGATAGATATACCAAAGGCTTCAATACTTAACTGTTTTCAGTGCAAGATTAATCTTTAACTGTGTAAAATGGTTTTGATGGAGCTTATCAAGACAAGGAATTGGTTAATTTTTCAAAGCCATTGTGTTGCACAAAGCAAGCCTTCCGTCAACTGCCGTCTATTGTTTTGTGCAAAATTACAAGTGTTGCAAATGAGCAACTGTGTAGGGAGGGTGAAGAAAGCAAACAAAGTATTAAAAGACTATGTTAAGGGAAGCTTTGCTACTTGAATATTTGAGTTCTAGATGTTAAAACATGGTGTACTGCTTCCTCTGAACTCGCTGAAAATTTTCTTTGTAATTCTGTCTGAATTGCTTTTTTATTTTGTTTTGGTAACATGAACTTGCCTGTGTACCGTGGCGTGGAGCCATATGTTAAAAACGATGTTAACCTTTATGTTAGAGAAAATGATGTCAAGTGTCGTACCAAACTAAAAATGCTTGGAACTAAGACTTACCATTGGTGTTTGTGAATATTTCTGTTTTAACTTTAATAGAATGCCGCCTGCTATTCGACATCATTTCTACAAACATATAACCTAATATCATTTTCAGATTACCGCCCCTTATTTTGTTTAGAGAGGACCACGAGGACAGTGGTCTACATTAAGGCGCATTGCTGGGGGGGGGGGGGTAGGGTGACTAGGTCTATGGATGCAAATCCATTTTATACATGCACCCCTGTTCAAATGTCAACAAACGGTATCTTTGTTTGTAAAATAAATTTCAGGACTAAAATGTAAAAACAGAGTTGCAGTTTATGTGTTTTCTCTGATTAGATGTAATCATGTGGATATGATGGTTTTGCTTGTGTTTCATCATTTGCCATGCCATGGAAGGAAATTAAATACCAACAGCAAGATCATTTGGTTTAGGGGTTAGTTTCCCTGCACTTACATGTATAGTACGTCCTATTATTAATCTACATTTGCCACCATAGACCCACGGGCAGTAAGTGTGTACCTGGTATGGTTAATTCCTTGAATGCTTCGGTTGCTGGAGATAAAGCCGGGGTAATAACAACCAAAGTCTTTCGGAGCAATAGAGTCAACATATCATAATGTGATATACGCTATATAAGAACAGAGCACTGAGAAATGAGAACTCCATAACAAGATAAAAAAGAAACTTGTTCAGTTACCGACTGTTGAGACTTCTTCCATCTGGAGCAAAGTGAGAGTTAGGGAAAAATAAAGGAATTCAATGAAATATCGGAAGATAAACGTGTTTTGTTTCTTCTCGAGAACTATATGAAAATCGATTCTAGATCTAGAGAACTGTTTATAATTTTTAGGCAAACTTTTTGTTTCGCTTTGCTTTCCTTTACTAAACCAAATTAAGCTTACCTGAATATAGTTTTACGATGAACAAAATGCATGTCCATATATCCTATAAATCCAAAGGGCTGGAGAAAAAAAGAGGATGAGTTCATATTCCCTGCTTAGAATAATTATTCCTTTTATTTCGTTGATTACTTTTTACATACGTCTTTGAAGGCGGTTGCTATGATGTACGTGCGCGCATTTAGCTGGTGCGCAAAACACCATTGTTACGTCACCCTCCTCCTTTGGAATGGCGTGGTATACTACTAGTAAGTAGTTGGCGCGAAGAGTAATGTCTTTTCTGTTGTTAAGTCATGAATTTTAATTAGGACAATTATATTAACGGGCCTCAAAAGGCGCCTTGTGAAGGCCCTTGTCTATGATGTTATTGATATTCATTTAGGGAAACCCGGGGGGGGGGGGGGGGGGTTAAATATTTTAAAACAATGGGTAAATTATTATGCGCCCCTGAAAACCACATTCGATACACTTTGGCAAGATAGAATCTATTGTGATGAATGTTCATTATGTTTTTAAACCAAATAATACTATGCGGTTGAAAAATGGTTAGCAAAGAGGATCGATTTCCAAACGGTATACTTAGTTTCGTATGTTTATGGGTTCAGGGCAGTATGATATACTTTCAATGTTTTTCTGTGAAGAAATAGTGTAAATTTGATACCGAAAATACACCCATCATAAATCCAAAATAGCGATAGAGTGAGTTTGGTTAATGCTCACCAATGAACTCTGATTATCGACGTAATGTTCGGGGGATTCATCCTATACATATATAGGCAAACATTGCAAATTCAAATATTGTATGACCACCAAAGTATCGGGTTTGTGATAATTTTCACTGAATCCACTATCGTACACAACTAATATGATTCATTTTTTCTACTTACGGCTATCCCCCCGCCAAAAAAAATCTAAAAATACCCCCAAAAAAAGAATTACAAAAAAAACTAAACTGCAAAACCTGCTAAAATGAAACGATTATTTCTTAGCATTGGTATTAAACAAATAGAAATGAGATGAGAAGAATGATCGCCATGGCGACCTGAAGTGCATTTCACCGTGCATGACATATTATAATCATCATCTATTCGACATTAATATCATTGCTTTTTAATGAAATAGTGACGTCTTCAACTATAGAGGCCATTTTCTGTAGATTTGGTGTTCTCTATTTTTTAAAAGTTGCATTTTAGCATTACAATTTGCTCTCGAATGGCAGAAATTGTCCTTGAATAATTGATCCACATCACTATGCCTACATGATTACTTGCTGGCGCTTTCTCAACACTGCATTCATCAGTTCATGATCACCTACTTATCCTAATCAAAGGAGAATTAAATTAGATTTATAACAATTTTACGAATAGAGGTGTTCATGCCATGGCTTTTTGAATGTATAATGATGGTAATTATGTCTATATCTTGCGCGATGCAATTTACTTCTGGTCGCCATGGAGATCATTCTTTCTCCGTATCCCCGGACAACTATCCACAGACAACTACCCCCGTCATCTACCCCCTAGGACAACTAACCCCTAGGGCAACCCAGGGGCGGATCTAGCTTTTTGCTAAGGGGGGGGGGTTGACCAATAATGACGATGCGGAGCATCGTCCACGAGCCGCGAAGCGGCGAACCGATTTTTTTTGGGGTGTTTATTTGAACCCCGTAAGTGATGTTTTCCTGGCATCTATTAACACAATGGAGACCATGAAAAGCAGTGCATGATAACGTCTTTTTAAATCAAGTAACAGTTAAATACACAGTTATATCCAGAGTTATCATGTGTTTGGTTAAGTTACCAGATGAGTTGAATATCTTCTCACAATATTTGCACTTGAAAGGGTTTCTCTCCAGCGTGCGTTCTTTTTTCTTTCTTTTTTTCTTTTTTTTCTTTTTTTCCCCCTTTTTTCCCCCTTTTTTTTTTTTTTTTTTTTTTTTTTTTTTGGGGGGGGGGGGGGCCGCCCAAGGGGGGGGGGGTTTAAACCCCCTAAACCCCCCCCCCCCCGTAGATCCGCGCCTGCAACCACCCTCTAGGACGACCCCCCCCCCCCGGGACAACTACCCCCATACAACTACCCCCCTAGGATAGTTGTCTGGGGCAAAACTTTGTTGTTGTTGTTGTTCTTGGGTTTAAGGCTGACCAATCTAAAAAAATTATTTCTGCCTGGTTGTACTGTTTTTTTTTAGTTGTTCATCACTGATGATTAAATGGCGCTGTTTCTTTTCCTCTTCAGTGGGTATCATGTACTGTACAGCTTCCGTTTATTCGATGGTACGGGCAATAATTTAGCTGTCGACCGTGAACAGGGTGCGAGTATTTTATTAATAGTAGGGGTTAACTGTGCAGTGCTAAACTATACTTTCCTTTCCCTTCCTCTCCAAGAGAGAGAGAGAGAAGTCGAAGAACGACAAAGAAAAGACGATAAGAAAAATTTGCATACAATTTGCTTTTTTCTTCTTTTTCTTCTTTTTCTTAAAAAAAACCCACCTTGGCAAAGTTAGTTATAACTCGTTAGCTATAATGAGTGGTATCTACCTGTAGCTTTTATGAAAGCCAACAGAGTGTGCAGATGATCTTTATTCCCCAGTAAATTCTTTAAACTCTTATCTTTAATTTTCAATAAATAATCAAAGTCTAATTGTTTGTGACCTATCCTATCATCGCAATTTACATTTTAAAATATGGTGACGTTTCCTAAATAATTCTATGTTTATTCATGAATGGAAATTTGATCTATAACACGAGTACTAGCTTTTTGATGAATCGAGCTTCATCGTTGCCACGTTGAAAAAATAGTAAACGAAAAATGATGTAGTGACGTCGTCAACGAATGCCATTTTCTTCTTTCTTTCTTTCTTTGCATTTTGACATATTGGCCTCGAATGGCGGAAATTGTTTTTTGAATAATTAATACACATCACTATGCTGACATTTTCATTTGCTTGAGCTATCTCAAAACTGCATTCATCCATTTATAATCACCTAATTATCCAAGTCATAGTAGAATTAAACTCGGGTTTTCAACAATAAACTAATCGAGGTGTTCATGTCATGGCTCATTCATTGGATATTAAATGATGATATGTGTATGTCGTGCACGATGCATTGTACTTCAGGTTGCGATGGTGATCATTATTCTCATCTCACTT